AAAACTCCTTAAAAATTGATGTATGGTAATAATATCCGTTCATAACTATTTCATCTTTCGGGTAATAATGACAACTATTTTTTATTTGATAGGTGATACCATTTGGAAGTTTTTGGACCTTTTGTAGAATTTTGATTAAATGAGCGGTTTGGGTACAAAAAAACATTTTTTAAATGTATTCATTATTTTGCCAGACATATTACAATACTTAAACAAAGTGCTAGTAGGCTCCGATTTTGTAAGTTGGCAAAATGCAAATAAGTTGCAAAGTTACATTTTCAGGTATCTAAAGTCATATTTTATCAATTTGTTAACTGTAAAATTAAGGACGAACGCGGAAGAATCAGTTTTCGAAAATTGTGCATTATTATTACAAAAAACGATGGACTTTGATGATATTTATGGAAAAGACGGTCAATCCAAAGACCAGCATGTGTACTAAAGGCCGATTCGATTGAATGTGAAATTGTTGCTCCAGGTATTTGATAATTAGGTCATTTCATTCGGTTTTTTATACCTAATTGTTTAATTACCAAACGTTAATTTTAGAAGTTAATATCGTAGATATGTTATAATTGATCTAAAGAAACGTGTTGAAAAAGAAAAATTTCAAAAATTTTAAATTAATGGTTCTTTACAACTAACAAAGTAGAACGTAGAACATTGTCGGTATTAATCCGTCACAAATTGAACATTAAATATTTATAAATTAAAAATATTGATATAAATTCTACTTCTGACCGAATAATACCTAAAACTGTTATTTTTAGTCATATAACATTTTTTTAAGCTTTATTGGAAGATTTTTTTTACAGAATATGTATCTTTTAAAAATTTCAAGGGGATAAGGACAGTAAAGATTAGTAGACTTCTTAGAAGCAGAAATTTTTTTAAATAAATGTCAATTTGGTTTTAGAAACAATAAAAGTACTGAAGATGCCGTATTTGAACTGACGTATAATATTAGAAATAATATACATAACAATAAAAAAAATCTTGCGGTATTCCTAGATCTAACAAAAGCGTTTGATACCGTTTCTCATAAAATTTTACTAGAGAGGCTTGAGGAAATTGGAGTAAGAGGTAATGCGTTAAAACTATTTGGTAATTATTTAGAAAATAGACTACAAAAAGTTAAAATAAATGGTATTTACAGTGATTCCCGTATTATTAATATGGGTGTCCCACAAGGAACGGTATTAGGTCCTATACTCTTTCTAATTTTTATCAATGAAATAGCTATTTTACCAATAAAATGTAAAATCATTTCTTATGCAGATGACACAGTGTTATTATTTTCTGAGGAAAATTGGTCAGATGTATACGATCAAGCTGAAAATGAACTTAGAATAATACATGAATGGCTATGCAGTAGTTTGTTAAGCCTAAATATAAATAAAACATATTTTGTAGCATTTTCCCCTACATCTATTGGTCAGCCTGACAAGAGTGAAATAAAAATACAACATTTAAAATGTACTAAAGAAAGTATTTGTAAATGTACATCAGTTATTAAGGTAGAAAAAATTAAATATCTAGGACTTATGATTGACCAGCATTTGAGATGGAATGTCCATGTAAATTATGTCACCATAAAGATAAGAAAAATGTATCACAGATTTTACCAACTTCGAGATATTCTGAATAAAAAATTATTAACTTTACATATTAATACTCTAGTTGAATCTATAATAAGATATTGTATAATTGTTTGGGGTAGCTTATACACTAAATCTTTAAAACTGCTATCCATCTGTCAAAATACTCTGTTGAAAATAATTTTTCTTAAAAATTATATGTATCCTACTGCATTGTTATATATATAGATCAGCTCTTCAGGCCTAGAAGGCCCATGGCTTTATGCACTTCTTTTTCCATTTTCTTTTGTCACACACTTTCTCTTGCCAATTGATAATGTTGCAGTCTTGCATATCCTTCATAACTTCGGTCTTCCATCTCGCTTTAGGTCTTCCACGTCTCTTCTTTCCACCTATGCTAGATTCTAGTATCTTCCTCGGTATTACGTCTTCATGCATTCTTTTTACGTGTCCTAGCCATCTTAACCTTTGACCTTTCACCACTCCTACAATATCCGGTTCTTTATATAGCTCTCTTAGTTCTTTATTACATCTCCTCTCCCAAATTCGTTGCATCTGTTTTCCGCCATATATTTTTCTAAGAATTTTCCTTTCCCACAATCTTAACATTGTTTGCTCCGCTGTACCAAGGACCCACACCTCACTCGCAAATGTTACTATTGGCCGAATTACTGTTTTATAAATTTTTACTTTAAGTCCTCTTGATACATTAGAATTCCTTTTAAAGCATGTAAACATCTATTTCCAGCCATAGTTCTTTGTTGAACTTCCCTCCTTGTATCCGGTTTTCTACTAAATTGCACCCCTAAATATGTAAAATATTCAACCTCTTCAAAAATATATGTTTTGCCATCCTCGTTTGTTATGCTCAGTTTTCCCTGTTTACTATAATCCTCGTCTGTCAATTTCATATATTTCGTTTTATCTTGGTTTATTTGTAAACCCATTATTAGTGCGTGTTTTTCTAATTTTAAAATGCATTCTTGTAACTCTTTTCTACTTCTGGTCAGTATTGCTACATCATCTGCAAAAGCTAAACACTGGTGTCGTTTGTGGTATACCAAACTAGACCTATTTAGGTTGGCCTTTCTCATTGCATACTCTAACACACAGCTAAATAATGTAGTTGATAGGGGGTCACCTTGCCTTAGTCCTTCCTTTACTTTAAAGACATTGCTTACTTTACCTTTACATGTTACTCTATTATTGGTCTCCTTCAGTGTAAGTTGAATCATTTTAACCAGCTTATCATACACTCCCAAACATTTCAATGCTTTATACAGCTGTTTCCTTTTAACTCGATCGTAAGCCTGCTTAAAATCTATAAATGCCACGTGTTTCTCTTTTTTATGTTCGTAACTCTCTGCTTGGATTTCTCTAAGTGTAAAAATTTGGTCTACCACTGATCTTGTTTTTCTAAATCCGCACTGATACTCACCTATTTCTTTCTCCATTCTTTCTGTTAATTTATTCTTTATATGTGAAGACAGAATTTTATAAGCAACGTTAAGCAGGGCTATTCCACGGTAACTAGAACATTGCATTTTATCACCTTTCTTGAAACGTGGTACGAGTATAGCTTCATTCCAATTTTTTGACATTTTCTCCTGTATCCAGATTTGTTGCAATAATTTATGAATCCATTTGGCCAACTTTTCCCCACCATATTTAAACCATTCTGCTGCTATCTGATCTTCTCCAGTACTCTTGTTGTTTTTCAATTTATGTATAATATCTTTTACTTCAGTCAATGTTGGCGTATCTTCTCTTTGTTCCTGTATATTACGTGTCTGAACTTCCCAATTTACTTCTGCTTCTTGGCTCTCATCTTCGTCTCCATTTAACAATTTTTTGAAATATTCTTCCCATTGTTTCAATATGCCATCCTCGTCCCCTATTAATTCCCCTTTACTGTCTTTCAAATATCCTGGTTTAGGCTGATATCCTTCCCCTTCGCGCTTTATTCCGTGGTATAATCTTCTTATTTCTTTATTTTTGTAGTTTTCCTGGATTTCCTCTAGTAGCCCCGCTGTATAGGCTCTTTTTCTTTCTCGCAGCAGTTTTTTACATTTATCACTTTGCTTCTTATATGCTCTTTTTGACTCATCGGTTCCATTCTTAAACATCAGTAATCTTAGTTCTCTCCTTCTTTCTAATTCTTCCTCACATTCTCTATTAAACCATTTTTCACTTCTTTTGTTCCTTCTATTGGTATTTTCTTTCACAGCTTATGTCATTTCTTTTCTTAAGTTTTGCCAAAGGGTGTCAACATCCTTAGAGTCTGGAATCTTATTTAAGTTTTTATACAGGTTGTCTCATAATTAGCTGCCAACCCTGATCAGGCCGATTCTATGATCAAAACTAAGTAAAAAAGTTCATATGAACATGGGTCCGGAAATGCTTCCTAAAAGCACAGGGACCCATTGAAGAGGGAGGAATGGAAATCATTTTTTTGCAATATCTCTCAATCGCGTTGTGATAAATGAATGAAATTTGGTATACACAGCTAAATTTTGATGAGCAATTTGATGGACTAATCCATTTATTTCCACAAGGTCCATTGGNTCCTGTCTTTCAAATATCCTGGTTTAGGCTGATATCCTTCCCTTTCGCGCTTTATTCCGTGGCATAATCTTCTTATTTCTTTATTTTTGTAGTTTTCCTGGATTTCCTCTAGTAGCCCCGCTGTATAGACTCTTTTTCTTTCTCGCAGCAGTTTTTTACATTTATCTCTTTGCTTCTTATATGCTCTTTTTGACTCATCGGTTCCATTCTTAAACATCACTAATCTTAGTTCTCTCTTTCCTTCTAATTCTTCCTCACATTTTCTATTAAACCATTTTCACTTCTTTTGTTCCTTCTATTGGTATTTTCTTTCACAACTTCTGTCATTTCTTTTCTTAAGTTTTGCCAAAGGGTGTCAGCATCCTTAGAGTCTGGAATCTTATTTAAGTTATTACATAATTCTCTTCTATATGCCTCTTTTTCCTCTAACGATTCTAATCTGCATACCTTTCTATTTGATTTATCTTTGTTTTTACTGTTTTTCGCCTCTGGAATTTCTTGCCTCATTTTAATTCCCACCAAAAAGTGATCTGAATCAGCGTCTGGTCCTCTATAGCTTCTTATATCCTTTATACATTTCTCCTCTTCCTTCTGTATAAGCACATGATCGATCTGGTTTATGTAAGACCCATCCGGTGATCTCCACGTTCCTTTATATATATCCTTCTTTTCGAAATATGTGCTCTTTATTATCATCCCTTACTCTTTCGCAAAATCAATTAGCAATTGTCCATTCTCATTACTTTCCTTATGTTTACTGTACTTCCCAATTGTGGGCCTAAAAATGTCTTCTTGCCCAATTTTCGCATTTTCATCTCCCAGAACTATTTTAAGGTCCTATTTTGCCAACTTATCGTATTCCATATCAAGCATATTATAGAATTCTTCTTTTTCGTCTAACTGCGATTCCTCTGTTGGTGCATGTATATTTATGAAAGCCATTTTTTGGTATTTCCCTCTCATCCTTAAAATACACATTCTTTCCGACACCGGTTTGAACTGAATAACTGCTGCTTTTAACTTATTATGTATCATAAAGCCCGTTCCTAGCATTATATTCTTCCCTCCACTATTAAATAGCATATAGTCCTCAATTTCAACAATTTCGTTTCCTTTCTGCTTTGTTTCCTGTAGTGCCACTAAATCAACTCTAATTTTTTTTATTTCACGGCTCAAATGTTTTAATGCCCCTTCCTCATACGTCCCCCGGACATTCCATGTCCCTACTCTTAGATTAATTTCAACTTTACCGCCACTTTTCTTTCTTTTTTGTTTCATATTTTTCCGTATCACTTTGTTCCCTTTCCTGTTATTTATGTCACTTTGTTTAGTTTTACCAACCTCTCTACCCAGTTTTTGTTTGCTTCTTAAAATATTTACTGTTTCTACTTCTTTATCGTCGCTTTTCCCACTCATAACCTTTTTCTTTGCCACGTCCCCTTCAAAACCTTCTCCATTTAGTTTTTTGCCTCTGATATTTCCAATTTTTTCTTATTTTTATTCCAATTCCATTCCAAGTCATTTAACCACATTTTGCCGAAAGCCACTTTAACCTGATTGCCTTTAGTATTCTCTTCCCTTGCTATTAACCTTACTTGCTTTTGCATATCTCTCTCCTCACGAGTAAGATCATTATTTATAAAAATCCTCTCCTCTCTAATTTCTTTTAGCTTATGTTTATTTTGCATTATTTTAGTTTTATCCTGTTCATTCGTAAGTTCTATCAAACAGATCTTTCTTCATATTTTATATGCTGCCTTTATATGGACCTTTACATTTAAATTCCTGTCTATGAATTGACTCATTTCATCTACTAGCATTTCTGGCTGGGTAGTATCAATGTTCTTCCCAGTCAATACGATGTTGTTTTTCCTTTTCTCTCTTTCTATTTCCAATGTGTGCTTAATTTCTGCTAATTCCTCCCGAATATCTTCATTTTCCTTCTTCAGCTCTTCATTTTCGATTTTTAGTTTTTTTCATATCTTCAATATATTCTTTTTGATCAACTTTAATTTGTTGTATTTCCGCCTTTAGATCCTGTTTCATATCCTGAATCATATTTAATATTTTGTCTAGTTTATCTTCATCTCGTTTCTTTGTAGGCGTTCTTTGTATTCTTTTGCTTTTCCCAAACAGCTCTGTTTCATCCTTACTGTCGAATCTTCTCTTCTTTAGTTGTTCATCCGTAGAGTATTCTTCGCTATCCGTTTGACCTATTTCCATTTTCCGTGTGATATCCATCTCTAAGCCGGCCCTGTCTTTTCGATCACGAACTAAGCCTTATCTCTTCTGATAACAGCGGACACCGCGCAAAAAGTCAAATCCCAGTCGACCCGTCGGAAACCTGACTCCTATCAATGTCCTTCTATTATCAACTCTTACAGCTATTTTATAATTATACTGCTCCTACCTTTGATCTTCTATTCTAATTGTAATTCTTCAATGTATGTTTCACTCACTTTCCTCAATAAACCAGTTATAATTAGTTCCGTAATTAAACCCAAATAGTTGAGTTTAATTACGGAACTCTAAACGTACATGTACATCCGACACTTTACCAGCACCGGCTTCACATTGTTATATACAAACATATTAAATGTGAGAAATTTATATGTGCATTCTGCACTTAATTACTTACCAAAATAATAAAATTATGTCCTTCTGTCTCTCACGATTATCTCACAAGACACAACCTGAATGAATTCTTAATAGTGCCGTTGGTTCATAACTCAATGTCGCAACGATTTATTACTTACTATGCACCTGAATTTTATAACATGTTGCCGCAGTCCATTAGAAGTTTAATTAATAACAAAAAGAAATTTAAATGTTTGACAAAAAAACATATACGTACCTATATGAAAATCCTTATAAATTTGCTAACAAACTGTAATTTATTTAATACAACAAAGACATGTAATGTTCTTAACTGTTGCTTAGTGTTCTAAGAATACGATTTGAGGTCTTATTCTGCCGCAATCACTACGGAACTACTTATCAAAATTTGCCATCTGAGAAGGGACATATTTGCGCGCAAACTGCATTTTACATGTAGTTTAGGCAAAAGTTCTTTCCCGTTCTTTTCCCGATACAAGAATGAAATTGTAACTATTGTAATTGTGATTATTGTATATATGTATATATTTTGTAATTTATAATCGTGTGGTATTTTGTCTTATTTTTGTCACATTTATTGAATGTAAAAGTATATACTGAATTAATGTAAAGTGATATGAATAAATGTAAATAAAGACAGTAAACAATACGAAGCAATAATGATTTATATTTATACAAATTTCCTGTTATTCAATTCTACTTTATTTAACAGTAATAAATTCATCACCATCTTTGTTTTGTATGCAACCGGTCTCTTCAAAAATGCTTTCTGTAAATTCTTCGGTATCATCTGACAGTTTCTCTACGTTTGCGCACGATACATGTGGCAAGAGAATGCGACAAATGAATAAAAGTTTTCATATTAATACCTAAGATTTTTTTAATTTTGGGAGTGTACAATATTACAATAAGAAGTTAGGACATTAATACCGAGCTGAAGTACGAAAATATTAGCTGTTCTCATTGTTGACTAAAAACTAACCTGAATTTTATTGTTATTTCAAATGTTGAGAAAAGTTTAACTAAAAAAACAAATGCATGTTTTTTTGTGACTGATATTCTTTGAATAGTGGAAAAATATAAAGAATGAACTTTTCCAATGCACGCAAGTGAATAAAATGTTTCCACTGGGACATGATGGGACTTTTTAGTTTTAAATTGCAATACAACATCTAACATGAAGTGGAAAAATGAAAATATTGGTTTTAAACTGTTCTCTTTGCTAAAATCTTATCGAAAATCTAGATGACAAAAGTGTATTATCAGATCTACATTATCATTGTTAACTCAAAACTCACTGGCTCACGTACTTTCATTATGTTATATGAACTAGTCGGAAAAATATTCTCTGATCAAATATTATTTAGCTTTAAGTAACTGATTAACCCCAAGAAAATAATTGCTTTAAATTAGGCTAGGCTCCAAAAAGATTACGATTCTGTCATATAAAAAAATACGTCTCCTATTTGTCTCATTTGTTCAGGACCTTACGAAAGGAAAAACTGTAATCAGGGAAAACATGTGTAAACTGTAAAAATTGTAATATTAATTTTAAGTGTACTTTTCCAACGGATCACAGTGCTATTTACTCTTCATATTACTTTTTTATAAAATTAAAATTGATCAGTTTAAATCCAAAATATCATATGAATTTATATCAGATGTGGTAAAAATACCTGAATTTAATTTTTTTAGAAAAAAATAGGCCAACCAGACTGGGTGGTGTGGGAATTTATATAAGGGAGGAGATCGATACAGTAGAAGGTTTTTCTGATGATGGTATTGAATTTTTGTGGATAAATATTAAAATACAAAAGACTATTTTGCTTCTTAGAGATATATACAGAATTCTATAGAAACTTTGATGAGTTTATAGACATATTAGAAAATTTATGTCTTTCATCACTCACGTTATGATATAATTTTAGGTAATATAAATGTTGACCAGTATTTTGACAACCCAGCAGCAAATTGTGTGGCGTCCTGTGATTTTTTAGTTGATATATGAGCCTACACATATTTCGAAATTTAAACAAAAAATCGTTGATATTTTTTAACAGAACCGATGTAGTTATAAATTCGGATACTAAAGAGGCGGATCATATTTCAGACCATAAAACAGTATAGCTCAGTCAGCAGAGTTCCGATTGAGCAGCCGACCCGTTCGGTATGCAGTGTGCAGTGTAGTGCAGTGAATAGTGAAGTGGAAGCCTCACACACTAACCCGAGCCTACGCCTCGTTGCACACTAGTCGGACCGGCTATCCAGATCCGGCTGGCTCTTTCACACATAATTTAATTTCCAAACCGGTTTGGCCGATATTATTAGTCTCAGTTGCATTTTTATCACGACAAGAGATGGATCATAGACGCATTGCAATTATGTGGCTTGGCTATTGCTGATGTCGCAATAAAAAAAAACAAAAAATATGAAAAATATAAAAAAAATATGAAAATGCTAAAGTTTTGTCCCACTGGACTGGTCTGGATTCAAGCAGTGATATAAAGAATGCTATATCTACTTGTAGCGAACAAACATAATTAAGTACAAATATTTAAAAAAATAATTGACACGTCCTGTTCTTTTCAATGAAACCGGACGATAGAACCCGGCAAGTGTGAAAGCGTCAATACAAAACTATGCACTACTACCACTTCGGTCGCCGGATAGCCGGTACCCGGCAGCCTGGCTGGCAGTGGTGGCGACCGGCTACAACCCGGCGGCCATTCGCCGGATAGCTCCTTCCGTCACACATGAAAGCTGCTATAAGACTCTGTACACCTTGCTGCCAGGTAATCGGATCTGGTTAGCTGGTTCCGGCATGTGTGCAACGGGTGTTACACCCGTTGCACACATGTTTAGCATTTTCATATTTTTTGGATATTTTTCATATTTTTTGTTTTTTTTTTATTGCGACATCAGCAATAGCCAAGCCACATAATTGCAATGCGTCTACGATCCATCTCTTGTCGTGATAAAAATACAACTGAGACTAATAATATGGGCCAAACCGATTTGGAAATTAAATTATGTGTGAAAGAGCCAGCCGGATCTAGTGTGCAACGAGGCTTAGGGTAAGTCCCTTTTTACTAAGTAGTTGGTTTTTACTTCTACTGTGTACTTTTTTCCCTACGATTGTGACTTTGACAAACAATATAACAGACAGACAAAAACATACAACGCCATGTATGCCCCCGAAAAGGGAACCCCTAACGCGATCAATACACACGTACAAACAAACACACACACACCAAGACAAATATGACGAACCCTGACCACAACAAAGACATCAACATGGATAACGACGCGATCAGTGAGATCCTCTTCAATGGCCTCTTCTACCTCCTCAGACTCCCTAAACACCACGACAAAAGCTGACTTATATGATAAACAATTGCAACAAAAACACGAAAATAAGACACTGAGACGACAAATATGCAAAATGAAAGAACAAAACGACAGACAAAAGTATACAAATACAGAAATTGGCAAAACAAATTGCCGTCATGTAAATAACGGTAAAACAATCTGACGAAAACACAATTAAACTACACGACAAACTTGACAACTTAATTAACAGACAGACACATCACAACACACACATTCCACCCAACTCTCCCTACCTTCTCACGCACGGACAAATGCAAAAAGGACACGACAGAGCTCTCTAGCGATGATGAGGACCCTAAACACAAAAAACCTGACCAAAAAACAGGACAAACCACCCCTCTAGCGATGACGAGGACCCTAAACACAAAAAACTGACCAAAAAACAGAACAACACACGCCCCAAACATCTAAACCGACCACAAGTACACACAAAATAGACCACAAATACACAACAAAACTCACAAAAAGAGGCAGACAAACCCCGTCAAGTCGTTCCCAGTAATCCTACGAAAACAAGAACGTTGAACGCAAATACGAAAACTACTAACGATTAACGATTAATTATCATAACAAGGCCAAACTGATAAAAGACGGCATAGCCATCTACCCTAACACTCCCAAAGACCATAGATAATAATTAACACAGACAAAGGCCTTCACTCTCAGCGAAGAAAAAACGCTGAGGGTGGTGATACGTGGAATTCCCGCGGGAATTTCACCAAGTAAGGTCCAACTCGACCTCGCATAACAAGGCTTCCCCGGTGCAATAGTGCACCGTATGTCAAGTCGACACAATCGACAGGAGATGCCACTGGTCTTAGTTCAGGCCCAATCAGACCAGGAAGGCATTCTCCAAATAACCCGCCGCTGCTTTCTACGCAGCAGCAGATAGCAGCAGCGTGTCGCCACTCAGTGCCATCGCTGTCAGCGATTCGGCCATGGTCAGTTTCGTTGTACGGGGGCGCCAAAGTGCGTGAAGTGTGGCCCTTGTCAGGTGTACAAATTGCGTCGGGGCACACCCAGCCAACTACATGGGGTGCCCTAAATACCCCAAGACACAGCTGACAAAGACAATAACACAAAAAAACGTAACACAAAAAAACACACATAGACAACCAGTATTACCTACCATCACCCCAACCCCCGTTCCCAGACCATCCTACGCTGACATGACAAAAAAAAGTTGGAACTGGTGAGCGTCTTAGACGTGATGGCCACCCAGGAAACCAAACTCAGCGAGACCTCCTGAATTTCCATCCCCGGCTGTGACATTTACAGACAGAGACCAAAACGGAGGTGGCGTTGCACTATCCGCTGCAATGGCGCCAAACTTAAAATACCGAGGCCGTGGCGATAGCGGTGAGATCGCTATGGCATGGAGACGTTGTTGTGGCGTCCTGTTACCACGCCCCACGACTCCCAATACTTGACACTGACCTAGAACTGGTTCTATCCTGTCCCCAAATGATTGCCATCGGGAACTTCAACGCGAGGTCCCCCATATGGCACAGCAGGACCACGACTGCAAAAGGTCGTGGCCTTCTGAACTACCACAACGCACATGACGACATAACAATACTCGGACCCACAGAATCCACGTTTTACGGACCCATCGGTCTTTCCGACGTACTAGACATAGCCATTCTAAAATCCATCTCGCTAATTGCCCAAAGATCCGCCGAGTACGATGGGTCTACCGCCCACAATCCAATCACGCTGGATTTGGGGCGCAGACAAGGATGTGAAGGTACCTTCACGAGGAGGTTCACTGACTGGGGACCCTTCCGACAATAGTTCCCCGACTGACAAACCCCAAGGGCACCCTCCCCGAAGACACCAGACAACTCATACGTGACAGACTACACTTAAAACGGCTTGCCACCCGAACCCGCCACCCCCGACACAAACACGACTTAAACATATTTAACAGACGGGTGAAAGCGGTCCTAGGTGACCTGACCCAGGAAAGCTGGGCCAGACACTTGGGGTCGCTGGATTCACAATACAATGGCCTTTGGAAAACACAGAGGGCCCTGCGACAGCCCGCCCGACGCAAAATTTCTCCAATCCACGGCAGCAGAAGGGTGGTTTACATGAACCAGAAAAAAGTCGAAGCTGCCAGACGAGGACGAGGAATTCAAAGAGGCGGCTGACCGCGGGGCCGATATGTCGACAACGACATTACACAACCTGCAACCCCTGACGAATTCAAACAAATATTACGGCGCCTAAAAAACAGAAAAGCTCCCGGACCAAACCAAATACACAACACTACACTAAAAAGATTACCACACAAAGGCCTCATGGCCCTGCTCAATATAACAAACATTACATTCAGACTCAGACAATTCCCTACACACTGGAAAACAGCACACATAATACTTATTCCAAAATCTAACAAAGACCACACCTTCCCATCCAACTACCGGCCCATCAACCTACTCCCAGCTGTGAGTAAAGTGGTAGAAAAAATAATCCTCACCTGCCTAAAAACCTACTCCGAGGAACTGAGAGTCATTCCTAACGAACAGTTCGCTTTCCGCCACAGTCACTCCACCGAACTCCAAATTCTACGCCTCACAGAACACATCACGGCGGCCTTCAACAAGAGATAGTTCACTGGAGCTGTCTTTTTGGATGTCGCAAAAGCCTTCGATACGGTTCGGCATGAAGGCCTAGTGATGAAAATGCTCACATGGGGTATTGCTATCCTTTATCAAACTCATTAAGTCCTATCTCCACCACCGAAAATTCCGTATCCATATCCAAAATCCCTTCTCCGTAATCCATCCCATGGAAGCGGGTGTCCCCCAAGGCACCGTCATATCCTCACACCTCTACACTATGTACAACTCAGACATACGACACCTCCCAAATCCAAACATATACCTTTACGACGACGACGACGACGACTTGACAATAACCGCACAATCCATAAACTCAAGACGCATCACTACCCTTCTTCAAAATTCATTAGACCAACTTGAAACCTAGTGCAACAGGTGGAAAGTCAAAATTAACCCCGACAAAAGTATAGCACGAAACGTAAAATCCCCCAAGACCTTGACATACTGACACTATCCCAGGAGCCCCTCTCCTGGGACCGACAGACACAATACCTGGGCGTAACGATGGACCAGCTACTCACGTGGAAACCGCATGTCGCGTCGTGTGGTACAAGTGACAAAAAGCCACCTAAAATCAATTCAGGCTGTGGAAAACATAGCCCTACAAACGGCCACCACCCCGCCTTGGTACGTAAGAAACGCAGACATACTACGCGACTAACATAGGTCGCCGCGCCGCCGCCGCCGTGACACCCAAGAGAGTCCCCAAAACCAATCGGGGTGCAGAGCCCGCAAATGTAACCAGCATGCTGATGCAGATGTTGGAAATGTACTCTGCGATGTTTGCCATCTCTTCTACAGGAATAGATGACCCTCTGAAAAGTTTGACGTCCCTCAGAATTGCCTCCTGGAATGTCGACGGATTCTGGGGGTAAAAAATAGAACTCAAGGAGCTCTTACCCCGTCTATACGTGGACGTGACGGCGATATAAGAGACCAAAGTAGAGGACTCATGCACTGTTAGGATTCCTAGCTACCTAGTGCATCGTAGGGACCGAAACAGGCACGGATGACGCATGGCCCTGCTCATAAAAAAAGGTATAGATCATCATATGTTGCAAGTTCTTCAGTTAGAAAACTTGGAAGCCGCTGCGGTGCGTATTTGCATGTACGAAGACATCGCCGTGGTGACTTGTTATCAGCCCCCTCATCTTCCGCTCACCTATCACAATTTGCGTGCGGTCCTAGAGACGTGTTCCCAAATCGTGACCGTGGACGTGACCCGAAAGCTATCGGGGATTTTAATGCAACAAAAAATGGCACAGCACGACCACCACCACACGTGGCATTGTGCTTCTGCAATTCTTGTAGAACAACAAGGACGTTACAGCGTACAGACACAATGGACCGACGTACTACGGTGCAGTTGGAAGACCAAACGTGTTGGATGTGGCTTTGCTCAGGGCAATATCGATAGCTGTCGATCTAGCAACGCACTACGAAGGGGCGACTAACCACGCCCCCATTCTCTTAACCCTAAGAAACGAACGTCGCGGCGAGGCACCGCCGAAAGGCGGACAGACTGGGTCCGATTCCGTGCAGAAAACGAATCTGCGCACCCATTCCCGTGATCCGTATCATCACGAACCTGGAAACGGCTATCGTGAACTTTGAGACGGATATCCACACCGCCTTGAAAACCAGCACCACGGAGATGACGGAGAGGATAGCGAACTATGCAGGTGAGTTACCTCTTATATTGCTGGACCTAATCAGGGAAAGATGTGCGGGGAAAAGACAAGGACGGCATACGCCCCGTAAAAGCAGTCCTAGAGGAACACTACCAGGACTCGTAGCAGCGATATCTGGAGTCACTAAATCCCGAAGATTGAAGCCTGTTGACGATGCAACTGGCACTGAGGACTATCCGGAAGCCGACGTCTCCGATTCACGGAGAGAACCAGGTATGAAAAGGCCAAAACATTCGCTGACGGCCTTGAATTAAAGTGTAGAGAAAACCTTCTTTATGACGAAGACAAGGACCACTCCGATGAGGTGGAACGACGCTTACGGCGACATCAGGCTGGCAACACCCGAGGAGGTGAGGGATATCTTGCAGCACCTTAACTCCCGCAAGGCACCTAGATGTGACCACATCGGAAGCCGAATACTCGGAAAACTCCTCCACAAGGGAGTGATGGCGCTGCTCAACATCGTCAAAGCCATCCTGAGATTGCAAGGATTCCCCGCCAGGTGGAAAAAAGTCGACGTCATCTTCTCGAAACCAGGTAATAATCTAAACTTTACTGTCAGTTACACGCCCATCCGATGATGAGCAAGGTAGCAGAGGATCATCCTCACCAAACTACGTGAGAACTCGGACGAATTGCTAGTCATCCCTGACGAGCAGTTCGCCTACCGTAGCGAATATTCAACGGAGCAGCAGATTCTCAGGTTAGTCTGGTTAGTAGAACATCAGTCCGCAGGTTTCAACAACCAAGCTTCCACCGTAGCAGTCTTCCTGGACGTCGCCAAGGCCTTTGAAAGGATCTGGCACGATGGGTTTCTGACAAAGATGCTCGACTTTGGCTACCCTGTCAGACTGATCAAACTGGTGGAGTTCTTCCTCAGAGGCAGGAAGCTGCGTGCGAAGGTGGAAGTCATATCCACCTATCGAGACGTTGAAACAGGCCCTACTGTCACCGCACCTGTTCAACATCCGAGGGAGAAGTTTTATCCGCTTCTGAGCAGTGTTGCGTCTCTGCCTGCGGAATAAGCTTACCCTCATCAGAGCAGTACTGCAGCCACAGCTGACGTACGCGGGACCCGCCAGGGCAGAAGGATGCCCCACGAACTGATTGAACCCAGCCACGTTAGTGTCCGCGATGATGGGGAAAGGGTCTACCTTTATGAGGCGTCCAGGCCTACAGCGATAAAATGGGTAAGAAGCGATAATCCCGTTCAACCTCGCTCCATCCGAGGTCATAAAATCCTGGCGCGCGTATTTAAAATAGTTGGCGGGTGAATGGCAATGCCTTCACCTGTTAACCTGGCTCTGCTATAATTTATCTTCTTGTTAGTCAGGCTCCAGACCATTATTCCTTCTTACGAAGAATCAGCGGTGTAATTTTTTCCACCTTCTCGGCGGGAGCCGCGCTTTCCGATGCCGCTGGCCTGGTCTCGAACTCCTCGACGATCTTTTGTTCGACCGTCTTTATCGGTTTCTTTTTAGTCTTACTGGGCTCATCCTCGGAGCCAGACGTGTTGCCTGGCTTGCCTCGTTTGACTCCCTGGGGGACTTGTTATCTTCTGAGGGCATTTAGCAGCTTGTTACGGTTTTCAAAAATATTAATATATAAACATTTACAAATAATTAAATTGTGTCTTTATAATTACTTCTTATCTTATTTTATCAATGGCAATATACTCATGCGACCGTTTCTGGAGGTCTTGCGTTGTAGTCTTAGCTCGTCTATCATCCCCCGCATTCTCGGCTGCCAGTTCGTTCTCGCGGCTCGTATTTTCTACAACGAAACCGGGGGTGCTCAGCTTGCTGTTGCTGGCCTCCTGTCGCCGGCCTCGCTACTGCTCGAGCGGTCGCTCTCCATCGGGGTCGGAAATCGAGACATAGTGCCTTCCTCCGCAGCACTGATACCTGAAATAAAAATTTCGGCGGCCTCTCTGCTTAATCTGAGATTACGTCAGTTATTAATAATGAAAAATTGATAGAATTCTTTTCAGGTAGAAATAGAATAGAAGCAGGTAATAATTTTTTGTGGGGCCTCCACTTCATTGTTCCTCGCACTAGACACTCACTGCTTAACTGCACAAAACACGTCCGTACCGCACAGCTGCTCGCTTGGAACTTTCTGGAACTAAAATTCATCCAAACCGTCGCGTCGTGCTTTTAGTCCCATTTGGTCCTATGAGATAACGTTTATTACGTTGCAAATAAATGAGTTTTAAAAAGTAGTTTGTGTCTCTAGCCAATCAGAGGCCGTGTTGCGCACCCTCATTTCATATAAATATACTTAATGCGCGCTCGGACGGATACTTTACTCATTTCTAGGGAGGTCGTTCTCAGAACTAGAACAACCAACGGTGCCGGGTTATTCGTCTGCTCGCTGATAAAGGGACTTCCAGCAGACTCATGCGCCTCCTCCTTGTCGACGCTAGAAAGGGCCGACATAGTTAGATAACTAAGTCCTTTGCTCTTCCTCCATATTG